CAACTTCACACGATAATTTCAATAGCAACCACGTGCGTACAATTGACAAACTCACATAGGTTATGTTTACTACTTAAGAACAGCTGATGAGAGGGGTGTTATGTAAACAAACATGTGTACCAACTGTTGGTGATGAAATATTTCATTTGTTGAAAACTCAATATACATATATATAATATAATGATACTATATCTTGAAAACAAGAGCTAATATATAATTTTTATGGTCACTTTCGGTTTTACCACGTGGAAATACATTAAAATCATCTAATTTCAACCCCGAAACAAAAACTTTGTTGTGTTGTGATAGAATTGGTTTTATGTAATTTATGGAATACAATATGATCACCGCCCTGTGTCCTTCGAAAAAGGAATGACATTTTTGAAATCCATTGAAAAAGAAGGTAATCATAATGACGTCATATTTACGAGAGAAAAGGTTGAAATATCAATACTACATATGGAATATCACCTCAGTAAAACTCCAGATTTCTTCAATTCAGAAACCTTGAAAAATAATCTATATGCTAGAAAGAGGTTGAGGAAATCCTGAAGTCAATACAGCTAGTTATTGTTGGAAATGATGAAAGTAGGGCGGTGATCATGAACCCACCACCACCAAGCTAATAGGCCAAGATGGACTAAGGCTTAGTTATTTTGCTATTCTGCCAGCCATTCTTGAGTTATAAATGGCTGTATTCAATACAGCCAATACAATTTTGCGACTTCATTTTATATTTCATACATAAATTTTGATTCATTTTGATTGTTTCAGGATATTCACACGTCTGCCTTCTATTTGACTTTGTCATGCTCATTCTGTTTCGGACTTTGGATAGACTTAATATGCTCAGTATTTACTGCATGTGTGACATTCAGTTCTGTTTTAATTCATACAAGTAAGTATGAAAACATTTCAAAAAATATGCTATCGAGTTCACAAATATTCTGAATTTTTTGGAGTATATTATATGTATAATAAATAAANCCTGACTACCGACCGATGATAACATATATCAATATTATCCATGATAATAATAAAAAAAATCACAAACATTTGTTATATAAAATAAATAATGTTTCTGAAAATTGTTTCATTATTTGAAAAAGAAAGGTTCTGACTTTCTACTTCTCCATCTTGATATAAAAAAACATGTGAGAATTTTATAAAAGAAGGAAAGAAGCAATCAATTTCAAATAATAATTCTGTACAAAGATGTATAAATCATGCAAAGAAGTTACTTTCAGATAAAATCTGGAAGAAAAAGCCTTCTCGAAACAACTACATATATCAACATTGAATTACACGAAACTGAAATACTTTCGAAACGAATTCTTTTACATTAACACTTTTTTTATTCAGTTTGTATTCCAAACATCCGTTATGGAATTGAATCAGATATCATTCACATGATTTCTACACGATATAGTAAATGAAAGAAGTAAAATATCACTCACATGGAACACAATCGTCCTCAGTAGACATCCTGATGTTTTGGCGTAAAATACTTGCCTTATGAACTCTTTAGTACAATCTGGTTAACATTATGAGAAAAAACACACAATTCATTCATTACCATCATTAAATAGTGTTATTAATTTTCATCAAGTAACGGGTCAGCCCAGCAAAGCACCAATAGATATGGAATATATATAAATTCACTCTTGATAAGGTATCACTCAATCCCCATTTCCATTCAGAAAAATTCAAAGGGTGACATCCCCGCATAAAGAGTTGATGGTTTTGCAATGGCTTTCTAATCAAAACTTGTTCCACTTACGAATAAACTTGATGTGATTACGTTATCGATCGCATTCGATAGTTTCACTAAAAGTTAATGACAAGCAAACTAATCTTGGACTCAAATATAAGTAGTTTCAAAAGAACTGCGTGAGAGTATGTATCTATGTCTACAGAGTTTTTTTATTACAGCTAAATCTCCTGTTTTCTCCCACATAAGTTCAACGTTGGATGGAATGACAACAATTAGAGCGTCAAAAGTAGAGGAACTTCTTATACATGAATTCGATGAACATCAGGTACGTTCCCGAATGGAGTTTTTGACAGACAATATTAGAATATTTTCTGTTGGTTAGGAATACCAACTGCTCTCTTTTGCCATATCGAATGAACACGAACACAATGGTAATCAAATACTGGAGATATAAATATAGGGTATATAGAAATGATATAAAATATAGGGTATGTAATTGAATTGACCGATATTTCATGAAAAATAATAACTCCTTCAAATGACACTTTATTGTGAGATCATCATTGGATAGTTTACAAAACCGCAACATATGTTTCGCTATAGTCCATTCGCTATTAACTGAGAGTGGAAGAATTTCACGAATGCAAACATGCTATTTCGACTACATCGAATTCAAAGATACACTTTTCACACTTATAAAGACAGATTATTCAATGATCATCTACGGAATTCTGATTGTAGGAACGATAGTTTTTACTATAACTAGAAACATGATGTATTTTAAAATTTCTATGATTGCTTCTGAGAAACTGCACTCCAAGATTCTGCATGTTCTTTTGAAAGCACCAATGAGATTTTTTGATACTAATTCCAATGGTAGCATATTGAACAGATTTTCCAAAGATATGGGTGCTGTTGACGAAATATTTCCTGGCGCACTCTGTCATTCATTCCAGGTAAGAAAATTTGATCACTCTCAATAAACATATTCATAAACTACTAAAATACTGTGATGATTATGAATATTTCGTTAAATGGCAGATTCGTGTCATGAAATGAAGAAACAAAACCTTCTCTGTAACTAGTCTCACATTTTTGTCCAGAATCCATTCCATAACATTAAAATATCATGTTGATATATAAAATACAAAACAATGAAAAAAGCAAAACTAATTTTGCAGTTATATTATGTGAATGTAATGAAAATAAACGATTGTACATTTGTCATCAATAAATATCTCCTTTATAAAACATACAGGCTGATTCACGGTGGATGGCACATTAGACGTTTCTGGTGAACCAGACAACGGATCACTCTGAAAATTTAATGGAGGGCATATTCGGACATTCTCTAGCCAACTAAAATATTTTCGACAATGCGGTGTTGCCGCTTCTATTAAAAAGCAGTAGCAACTTTGATTTTTCAAATGGAACACTCTGTATATAATATTATTTTTGGAATCTCCAACAATTGCCCGACAACTTTTCTTGATATTTCCCTATACCTATCTGTTACCGTTTTCGAAATAAAAATTAATTTCAATTTTTTTCTTCGAAAATCATGACTTCTAAAAATGCCGATATCTTTTA